AGACCTGAAGGAGATTCAATGAGCCTGATACTCTGGTGATGAACACAGCTTGCACAAGTCCTTTAGACTGCTCAGGGAGCAAATCTAAGGGATGCAGCTTTTGTGTATTTCCAACAGACTTGGGAGAACATTTGGGGTGCAATAATGGTTATTTAGCTCTGGACAGTACACACCAGTTTTTAATCAGAAATCGATAGACACTTGTAGGGTGCTGCTGGGCCTTTCCTCACACTGCTTATCCATGTTGCCAGTGATCTAATTCTTGCTTTCACTATTTCAGATTTGATTTCAAAATCAGGAGGGGGTGATATCTAATACTCATGTTGTTAGCAGGTGTGCAATATCATTTTGCAACAATCATTTTGGACTTGTGTGATTTTTAGGTTTGTTTTTTCTTCCTTCAGTCATCAAGCTGGCTTTTGCTTAATGCCTACAGCAGAGACTTGAGACAGCAAACCATTCACAGGAGTCATTCCTGGTTGCTGATGGCCTTTCCCGGACAAAAGGAGAGCTTGCAATGGTTTCTGCACCTTCAGGGAGTTTCCTAGCAACATCCCTGAGGAAACTGTATGCCAGGATTCTTGTCCCTAGTGCTTTTTGTTGAATATAGCAGCAGCTGTAAAACAAAGGCCAAGAGCAGTTTAAGCTCTTCAAAAGGCTGTTGTGTTTTTATTTACTCGGAGGAATGTTTGTGTTGTAGTTTTCTACCCAAAGGATAAATATCGGATTCATGGCTAGGCTTCCCCAACGAAGATTTGAGCTACTTGGAGGAATACAGGTTCTGCATGGTTCAACATGTAAGCAGTCATCTAAAAGTCATCAGAAATAATCCTCTCTCATCTCCCTGTTTGTTAATGTAAATGATGGCTTTGGCTGGAATTTAATACCAAACAAACCAATGTGCTTAAGGCAACCTTCTGGTTCCTTCATTACAAAGGCTCTTAAGAAGTGCTACCACCACTTCCCTTCTCTGAGAAATATTGCCAAGTAGCTTGCTGAAGAAAACCAGCTGAGGATAAGGTGTTTTGAAACAACACAAGAAATTTCCAGTGAAAATCTGTCACAGCTGATAGAAAAAATGCAACACCCTTCCATTCAAACAATTTTCTTCTCTTTCAGGTGATGTGAACCCTGTCGCCATGAATCCTCTCTTGCAGTCATGCCCCCTTTCTCTGGCAGAAGGAATATGCTGTACCATATCGGACATGAATGCAGATCACGTGATGGTGACACAGGAAACTTTAGTGGAGCACTTAGAGAAAAATTATCCAGGTAATGTGTTGGTTTCTCCCTCCTTTTAAAAATGGCTGTATCATCAAGTTTGAGTTTCTGATATTGGACAAGGGATCACTGAATGTTTACAAGCAAAGCTGGCAAGAGGAAGGAATATAAATGAATAGGTAACAGGAATGTGCAAACTCTGAAAATTGTTCAGTTTCCCTCAGGTCTGCAATACTGAAGTGTTATTACATGGGGAACTTTGTAAAGGCTCAGTGTGGCCCTCTCAGGAGGTTGCTTTGTTAGATACTGAGCTGCTTCTTTTGAGCCCTCTTAACCTCACAACTCTGTAAATGTTACAGGCTGATCTGCTAGGCATTCTCACCAGTGGGAAAAGTGTCAGAGCAACCCCACAAATTAGTCCAGACCCCTGCCAGGAACATGATGTAGTCCGCATGTGCACTCAGACAAGCACAGGGTAGGGTTCATTCTTAGGTCACCCAGCACTCTCAAAGTTTGTAGGGACTGAATGTATTTCTTGCTATATTTTCACCTTGCTGGAAGTTTTCATTCCTGTGGCAGGAGTTCAGCTGTGACTTTACCTAAAGGCTTTGGGTGTTCCATGTTCAGTTCCTTCCAGGACTGTTGTACTGTAAGTTCTTTTTTGGCCAGCACCCATTTTTTTTGAAAGTTTATTTCTGATTTGAAATATCTGTCTCTTCGTTGTAGGCATTGCAGTTCCCTCCCACAGTATCTTATATAATATCCTTGGCACTTTAATTAAGGAAAGGAAGATCTATCACACAGGAGAAGGATACTTCATTGTGACTCCCAACACGTACTTGATCACTAATAAGGCCACAGAACACAACAGAAGGGTCCTGCTGGGGGACAGTTGTTGCTGTTCAGCACCTTCCATCACCTGCCTGGTAAACATTAAGCACTGTGCAAACCTAGTGAAAGAAAACATTCCTACAGTATCCTGTTGCAGA